GTCTGAATTAATGTGATGGATTAAAATGCTACATCCCAATCTAAAGACACCATACTACCTATCAGGATCACCATCGCTGTTCTTCAGTTTGAACCCAGCATCAACATGACGGCATCTTGTGGCTGATTTTCATTAATCAAGTTTGATTCCGTGAGAAAAAACCCTAAAAATGAGCCTCAATGCTCTGCATTTCTGTGCAGTGATTAACTGATTAACTACCAGGTGCACTATGAGGGAACCTTTATGTTTGGGTTTGTAGACGGGCTTGTCGGTCTGGATGAAGACGGCCGTGCCCTTGCTCTCCACCGTGACGGTGGTGTAGTTGTGGAAGATGTAGCCTCCCTCGGTGAGGTGACGGTTCCCCCATACCTTCAGATGGGCCTGGCCTCTTAGCCCAGAGGGAACCTGGTGGCACACACACACACACACACACACACACAGGGACGGATTTACCAAAAGTAAATGAGGTCAGTGGCGGAAGGATTGAAATGTTTACTGTAAGCTGCACAGTTCACCTTGATTCAACATTTTTGATACATTTCTATGGAACCAAAGCCACCGCATAACAAAAGAACTACATTCAAACACCGGAGGACGATGCCAAGCTGAACCAGAGCACCCTGCTCATGACTGTATTTCACGAGAATGAGGGTGGAGGTTACAGGGTGGGGAGAGACAGAGGGGAAGAATCGAGTTGTGTATACTAGATTGATCTATTCCAGCCTTTGGGGGCGGCGGACCATACATGCACGTCAACAGCTGGTGCATATTATATTGAGGCTGTTACCTTATTCCCAATGAATGAGCGGAGACAGATGTTGCATTACAAATAACGTTAGTGTTGATTTGCATGTTGCCTGAAGAATGTGCACACAACGGACAAGGGGGCTCTCACTACTGTGCAGCTGTCACAGCTAAACAGCGCCGCGCATTCTACACATCTCTGGAAGGCAGCGTGCATATCAACGTGGGACTCTGCTGAGGAAACAACTTGAGTAGAACATAGTTAGACTCACCTTTAGCTTGATGGTGCCTTTATCTGGAATAGAGACAACGAGATATTTTAATGTAAGATATTTTCTTTTTTTTGTGAGAGCATTTTCATATACTTTTGTCTCAGTTCTCTGAAATCTGTACAAACATCTGTATGATTGACATCCAGTTAGCTGTGAGCGCTACTAGACTGGGAATCCAGCTGCAGCCTGTCTCAATGCCACTCTGAGGTAGAGCAAGCACCCTCTATCAATGGCGCTGTCAAACTAATTGCACACTTTATACACAGAGTGGCCGGTGGGATAGGCTGAACTGATGTCTCCAGTCAAAGACAATGTATATGACAACCATAGCTGGTCAGGAGCACACAGCGAGGGCAGAGGTCGATCAGGCTCACGTCGGGCACGTTCTTCAAATCGACGTGTGCGCCTGTGTGATCTCTACATCCTTTGAGTAAACCACACAAAGGGGGGGGGGGGGGCGTCTCATAGCTCAACTTGTTAGTGCAGGTTCTCCCTCTAAAAGTCATGCGTTGTGCCGGGGTAACCTTAGCTTTTGTTCTCACCGAGCACCGAGACGTGGCTGTGGGTGACCGTCTGTCCCTTCACCGTCAGCTGCACCTGGACGCGCGTTTCTGCTTTGGCGTTGAAGATGGTTATGCTCACGCTCTCCTCTACACCCGCTCGAAACACCAAGGGTGCGGCGACCAAATAACCCCTGTGAGAAGAGCAAGGTGGAGAAGGCGGGGGGCAGCAAGGGGATAGAGAGAGGTGAGATGGAAGGAGAGCAGGAAAAGTAAAGGTGGCAAAACAGAGGGAGAGAGAGAACAAAGAGACATGAGGAGGACATACATGTATATGCTAAATATGAACACATATGAATTGCATCAGTGCTCCACTTTTAGGCGCGTTCAGACACTGATACCATTTAAGTGAGTTTAAGTGAATGTTTTTCGAGTGTTATCTTTCAAGACGATACACAGGTAAACGAGGAATAAATTCACATTTCCGTCTCGCTTCCTCCCTGACCCGCACACACGGCCACGTGCACGCGTACGCAACAAAACACACTTACAAACAGGGACATTCCGATTGGATTTGTGCAGCGAGATCAGGTTTAATTGCAATGGTTACCAGGGACACGGTACCTGTCGGCCAATGAGCTTCCTGCCCTGGTTTTCTCTTTGGGTGGTCTGGCACCTCTTGACAGAACCTTGGCGTCTGTTTTGAAAAATAACGACTGAGATTCCACACAGTCACTCTGACACTTAATTGAGGGAAGGAGCCTGTCACCGAGGTCACAGAGCAAAGGTCATTCTTTGATGCTTATCAACGGGGGGGAAAAAAGGCCAATTTAAGTTTTATTTGGATGAAGGAATATGCCATCTGGTGCTGAGGGACTACGTCTTTCAGGTAGCAAAGACAGAATAATAATACTATTTATTTGTAAGGTGCTTTTTCTAGACCCAAAGCGCCAGCTTCAGGGACTCTTGTACGCATGGTCCTATAAACTAAATCAGTAGTGAGGCCTGTTAGGGGTTATCTTAGGGGCATGAGGAGCAGTTTAAGGATAACTTACGAAATGCAGTTGTAGCTCATTTGCTACACAAGAAAAACATGATAAAACAAACTGATGTGTTGGAGTATCCAAACCTGATTTGATAAAAAAAGAACACCCAGTCCCAAATTAGTTATGCCATCCACATGCGGCAGATATGTACCTGAAACAATACAAGCCTGAATATTCCCTTGTTTGTTTCAGCCCCTGACCAAGTCAATCCAACTCTTATTTTTTAAGGCAAATAGGCCAAATCACCCCCTGAAAAACTTTACTGAAGATCACACAAATTAGGAATGAGCAAAGCCTTGAGCGCAAACCCAATTGCATGCCTGAGAGAAGGATCAGGTGGTTGGCATTACAGCACTACAGCATTACAGCCGGAGGCAACTGCAGTTCCTGAGAGAGAAAGTCATGAGAAAATCCCCCTGGAAAACAAGGCTTCGGGAGAAGGAAGATAATACGAGGAAATTGACTCTGCGCGTTTGATCTACAGTGAGTTTAACCAGCTCTCGGATGAGCCCGGATCAGGTGCTGGAGACCATGCTTATTTCAGTCACATGGCTCCATGTACTCAACTTCTCATTGTTTTTGCCCAACTTCTGTCCTCAGCTGGTCAGTGCCTGAGAAGGATTTGTGCTCTTTTGTAGGTGAAGTCTTGAAAACAGCCAGTTCTTTTTTTTTTAGTTCAGTCACATGGTTTTATGCTCTTTCGCCTTTTTGCCCAAATTTCACCCTCAGTTGAGCTGTTTTACTTGACGATTTAAGCTCTCCTTTGCAAATCACGCCTGCATTTGTCAGTATTTTCTGTTAACTCATAGAGCTGCACTCAATCCCCCCCCCTCCCACCCTGGAAGAATTGTTTACAACTCCTTCCCTTTAACACAAATCTCAAGGTTTGAATTAAGCTCCCGAGCAGCTGACAGCAGCCTCACTGACGACATCAAAGAGACAAAAGTCATTTATGAACTGAATAACATAAGCTACTGTCAAACATGTGAATTTAAATGTTTGGAAATATTTCATGTGGCACGAGGAAACTGCATATATTCCAGCCATCACAATACAATAAGCAGAGTAGGCCAACTTTCTTTGCATCACTTAGTGTAACTGCTGACAGGTCCAATAATACAGCAGTGAATGAACAACAAACAAACATGAATGGCAAGGTGCTGCGATAATACAATGTTATCATCAGAAATTACAATATATCCTCAAATATAACATATTCAAATCTCACAGATTAGGACGGTGATTATTACAATTTAGTGATCAAAATGTTTGCTGCACATATTTTAATGAAAATTGCTAATGTTGCTGTGACCACACACACTTTTCCCATTTGATGTAAAATGTTGAAGCTGAATTTAAAGTTGTGCATATTACAATTCCCGGTTGAGAGCATCGGGAATGCTCGTAGAGAGCTTAAAGACATCGCATGCAACGCGGGCTACTTACTGTCTTTCTTGTGCAGAACTTCTGCTCACGTTGCAGATGAACAAAGTCCATGAGAGACTCAAAGCTGTCAAAGACACCCGCAACATGTTGGCCTCAGTTAACGGAGACTTGCCGGATATCGGCTCCCCCCTCTGAAGGACTTCGAGGGTCCTACGACTCCAAGTTAAAGGAAATTTAACAGTCTGTGTCTGCAGCTCCCTCTCGATCCGTCTTTCTAGCCATCGAGGTCGGCTGGCATGGTAGGCGTGCAGGAGCTTCGTCCGGAACCAAAGATCAACTTTTTTTTGTAATCATCCCACTTCACCGAATCCAGTTCCAAGCAAATCTTTTTTTTTTTTTTTTTTTTCTTCCTCTTAGAGCCCCGAGAACACGGACAGTCCTCTCCCATGTGCATTCACCCGCCCCGGTTCCGTTCTCTCATATTTCAGCATTACAAATTGGAAGCGTCCTCCCACTTCAGGGAGCACAAATGTCACTCTAAAGCAATGTTTGACATGTAAAAATCCGTGCAACTATTGCTTCCCGAGTGATCTCTAGTAAGTCGGTGGGGTTTTTTTTTTTCCTGCTCCTCCAGCAGTCAGTCAGTCAGGAGACGTCCGGCTGCGCTTCATTCACCTCAATACCTCCTCTCACTTGTGAGCCGCGGCAGCATGACTAACCCCAGTGTGAGGCGTGGAGCCGCTGCTCAAACCACCATAAATTACCTGCACAGTTCACATACTTCTGCTGCAGCTGACAACTCAGAAGATTTACCAGCTACAAATAGCTTCCTTTGCGCTGGAAAACATCAGGATGCTGCCAAAGTGGAAAACAATAAGGAAAAACACAAAATGATCTTTTTGTTAGAAAGATTACCAAAATGTTAAGTCAATTCTTTTTTTTAATGCTGGTTTAAATACGTTGGTGCACTCTACAGATATCTGCTGCCCTCAGGTGGTAAAAGGGCTTATATGCAGTTAAGTCTCACCAAGTGTAAATGAAGGACCAAGGCATTTCTTTTACGCAACACATTTATTTAAATGTTTGAGGTACTTTATTGATGAGAACAAATGAACAATGTCAAACTGTAGTTTTTCAGAAAACTTCTGAAATGCTTAACCAAAAAAATACAATATGGCATGAACACAATATTAAAACAACATAACCAGTAACATTATAAAAGTAAATTCACATCTTTAAGTAAATCAGGCACCAAGTGCATGATCAGGATGAAGAAGCCGCTTCAGAACCAAGAGGGAGCGTTTCTTTTCCGAGTTCAGCTTCAGGTGGAGCGTGGCCAATGAGCTCAACAAAAGCCCTGACCCTAATGTTGAACATGTGTCCTCGAAAGAAGCTCCAAGGCTCAAATCCAATAACAGGAGCAGAAAGATGAAAACACTGCTGAAGTATCCTGACTAGATTTTAAATCCCTGCCAGTGGCACCGATCACCCTGTGGACGGACAGCAGTAAAGAGACAATTTATTCTACATGTAGTGACGATTTACTCTTTTTGTATTTGTCTCAAGCACAATCGTGAATGATGTTCCCAACACTGAGGTCTCTCTGTTTCTCTGCCACTACGTTGTGATACAGTCTGCAGTGCAGTTTCCCTTGTTCGGGCTCAGTGAAAGCAGCCTTGGAGAAAACTAATTGGTCGTCCTGGTTCACCACCACTCCATACGCCCGACAGAGTCGGGCCGCGAGCGCCTCGTCTAGAGATAAGAGCCCAGCCAGTCCGTCCAGAGGGAAGCGGCAGTTGCGGCTGCTGTATCCGTGGCTGTATATTAGCAGCAGGTCTCGGCCGCATGACACCAAGTGTCGGTGCAGAGCGCAGCTCTGCAGGAAATTCAACCTCCGAGCCAATCGGAGCAGCCGTACGGGATTTCGCTCCAGAAAAGCTCTGTTGATGGAAAGAGCGAGCGCGATGGCAGGAGAGCTGCGGAGCTGCTCGGGGAGCTCCATGACGTGCTGCGCGGCACGAGCTGAACCTGGGGGGGGGAATAGTAAGCAAGCATGAAGAAATAAAAAACGCAAGATATTTATATTCTTAATCTACTGAGGGGAGCTACGGATAAAATTCTGACTCCAGTACACCTTTGAGTTCGAGGTCAACAAAATCTATTATTGTAGTGTAAAACCCAAAGACTGGGGTTACATTAGCTGCCAATGACAACAGATTCGGAGGACTGCTCAACAGAAAAACTCTTCCATCAGATCTCTGCATCAATAGCCTGCTCATGTAATTTATAGGATGCTTAAAAATGCATGCAAATACAACGCCCAAAAAGGTCAAACCTGTATTAAACACAGTGACATACCCAAGTTGTACAGCAGACCAAGAGCTTGCAACTCTTCCTGGTTGGGATGCGGCCCCGTTCCGGTCGCGTAGCAATCCAACAGCCAGCTCAGATTCTCCTGGAGGTGTGTGTCGTTGATGCGTGGGTCGTAGAGCCGCAGGGGCTCGCCACAAAGCCGATAGGAGGCATAGATAAGGAAACGCACGGCGCGCTCTAAAATGGCCACACAGGTCAAACCCGACACCCTCTGGATGATCATGTCCTGTTTCACGCCACGCAAACGATCAAAGGCGAAGCTGTACATCTGGAAGACGAGTTACATTTATGTTAATATATTTTGCGAAGAGATTTACCCAAGATATTTATGTAAATTCTAGGTCATTTGGTACTCTAAAGAATAAGTTGCTGCTCTGGACATATACTGCATGTTTTAGAGGATGCCTACATGAAGCTGTGCCAACTGTGAGTGTGTGTGTTACAGTAAAGCAAACAGTTTTAACTGCCATCAAAGGTGTGTAGATGACGCCAAAAGTTCCAATTCCCTTAACACATGGTTAAAGTTTCTCTTGACCTAACTAACTGGTAAAAGTCAAAACTGAGTGACTGGGGAAACACTACTTGCCTCCGTCCATGGCCGCAGGTGAGGGGAGGCAGCGATGTCATCAATAAGATAAAACACAGTTTTCAGTAACACTGCAGGTGGACGTAGATCTGTGGGGTTTGTCGAGTCTTTCCCAGCTGCTGGTCTGGAATACTCTTTGACGGCACGCAAGGGGTCTCCCCTGGGCCGCCGGTCTCTTTCCGTGCCCGCTAGCAACTCAAAGCGGTGGAGGCGGTTCTGCAGCTCGCGGTCCCGCAGCTCACGAGCAGGGCACATGGTCTGGCAGGTCCCGCTGGGCACGGTGTCTTTCCCATGATGCTCTCGTCTCTCATCCCTCTCCCCGTCTCTCACCTGTGCTTTGCCTTGGCCTCGCCATTGCTCTTCAGTCCTCTGTCGCCATTCTCCTCCTGCTGCTGCTGGTGGTGCATCCCTCCTCTGAGAGTGAGAGCTGCTCGAGGGGAAACGGGTTGGTTGTTAGCTGAATATGTAGTCTAAATAGGAATCTGATACAATACGCACACACAAGAACGGCTTCTCCTGCGGTGGCACTAGTCGACATCTGACCCACTGACACATAACAGCTGTTTATCTCACTTCTGCTCTGACATTTTTCCGAGTTGATTTCTTTGTGTAACGCAGAACAGATTTAAACTGTAAGATAAAGTGGCCTTTATCTTACAGTATGCAAACTGAGCCTATAGTATCTGTTGCTTCATTACTATAACTCTCTGAAATAGCAAACGTTAGCTTTAATTGTTGTCATCCTAGTTTTATCTGAAATCAGCTTTTGTTTTCTGCTTTTTTGGAAGTTATGCAACAAAGGACACAACAGCAACGTGTTTCTTGATAGTAGCTGGTAAGGCTATAACGGACTGGTAGCTCTAAGATGCTACTGGTAGCTGTACTACGAGGCTGAAGTCTAAAGTTAGGCATTAGCTAGCTACAGCAGTTAGCTAGCCACCAACGACGAAAAAACGCGCCAATTACGTTACTATCGAATAATACGCAAGTTAAACGACGCGAACTGTCATCATAAGTTAGAAAACTTGGCTTTATGTGACATTTGCTATAAAATGCTTGATATGTGAAAAAAAAAAACATGTACTCACATGCGACGAGGCGCTCTCCTGCGGTTCATTGGTCATAGAAAACACCGGTCGTCACTTTCCAGAATCAGCCAATAGAAAGGAGTCACTGTTGTTTTGACTTGACGTCACATCCGGAATAAGACGCACCGTTTTGAAGCAGAGCAGTTTAAAAAAGACGGCTCTGGTTTGAAGTTGAAGGCAGGAGGATTTGAATTAAATTATACAAATCGCATAGTTTTACTATTTTTAAACATTTGTCAAAACAAGTTGTGGTTATATTTAATTCTAAGGCACAAACTAAACAGAAGAAACATTCATATAAGTAAACTCCACACTGCTTCTACGTCAAATTTTTAAATTACTTTGTGATAGTTTTCCGTTATCGAGTGAACACAAATGTAACATGGATTTAAACATTTAACTCTTCTCAGAGAGGCCCATCTGTATCCCTAATAACATGTTTCTCTTTTAAATGCCCATGTTGACTGTTTAATCCATATTTGCATTGGTTCATATTGCATTTATTACAATAAAAGTATTAAGTAGCATCAGTCATTTAGCATTTACAATATATCATAATACAGCTGCAAAGAAATCAGACGGCATACATAAAAACAAGACATAAATGTTACAAATACATGTAAACGGGGGGAAATAATTTGTTGAGGGGTATCCAAAGTGCATGTACTGTGTATCCCATGCTGCGTGGCATCCTTCATTGTTTAGGACAGAAGAGCTGGTGGGTTCTTGCGGTGCCGAGCTGTTCTTCCTCCGTGGCCTGCTGGACATGGATTGTGTGGCGGCAGACCAACGATGACAACTCCAGCAGCTCTGAAAATGTTCTAGGAAGATGGAAAACAACAACAATGTTTGAGCACAAGCGCAAGCTGGCCAGGATGCATTTTTACACATGCAGTTCTTCAGAAGTAAGTAACTGTTTGTTTTCTAGGGCTGTCAAACAGCAGCCCTATTTGCTTCAGCGATACAAATACAAAATGAATCTCTCTTTAAAGAAGACTTTATCACAGTTATGACTAAGCAGTCATAGCATAAAGGGAAACTAGAAAAGTGCACTTAGTAGAGTGCAGATCTCCGCCAGGTGTGTCTGCAGCGTCCATGACCACCACTGCAATAACGTTTGATTGAATGAATGCAACACTCAGACCCACACACAAGAGCGAGCGATCGCATGATTCTCTTGGCGTAGATAATAATTAATGAAAACGTTGACAAATAGCTGATCATGTATTCACAGCACCACCAGGTTCTCTGTATATGTGCCTACCCTGACAGCTGCTGACTGATGGCCTTTGATGTCGTTTTCATGTCCTTAAGGCACTCTAGAGATGTGCTGTTGTCCTTATGATCTCCCTCTGTGCACTCCATCAGCAACGCCTCACTCTCCTTCAGACAAGCCCCAGCTTTATCTGAAATGAGCAGATACAAAGTGGATATGATTATAACAACATCTATCATAGGTTCCTGCAAAATACATATAACGCACATGTCATTTGGGGTACAGGCGCACACATAGAAACTGATTTAAAAGATCTACATTGTTAAAAATTTTAATTTCTTTTATGAGGACTCTTACTTTGATCACCAAGTAACTACAACACACAAATATCTGCCTAATTCAGAATAATACTGGTTGTTTTACATTTACTGACCATTCCTCATTCAGTTATTCATTCATGTGCAATATTAATCCAATGTATCAACTGTGCAATATAAATAATCTGTGCAATCCAAATATATATATTTTTTTTTTAATGTAATGTTTTTTGCATATTTATTATACCTTTACAGTGCGATTACATATTTATTATACTTTTGATCTTCTTATTTTTTTACTCATGTCTCTTGCACTATCCACTCTGCTGCTGTAATCCTGCAAATGTCCCCGCTGTGGGACTAATAAAGGATTATATTATTTTATCTTATTAGAGATTCCTGTATTTGTTTCGTCTGTGCTCATCTCTTAGGTTTGAAGTGGACAGAACGCAGCTGGAGTCAGGCGATATCAGATAGTTCCCTGAACCAATTAGAATTCACCAAATAAAGAATAAATATCACAATATAGTTTTATATAGTTGGGGACAATCCGATCAAAACATTGAAGCAGATTAGCTGAATTTTTGAGTGTTAAACTAATTAATTTATGTTTAACAGTGTTGTTTTTGCACAACTTTAACTTTTTAATGACTTTTAAACAAAGTAAAAACAACAACAACCTAGGAATTCCTTTCTGTCCCCGTCAATATAGAAATTCTTGACAGGCAGCTCATGTCGCGTGGTGTCCACAGCTGTGGCGAAAGACTTGTAGTTCTTTGTGAATTGCTTGGCAGTTTCCCCCACAGGAGTTAGTGCGGCGATCTGATGGAAAATTACAATATTAGTAAGATGCACTCATCCTATCTTACACACACACACACTTTTTCTTTACATTATAACACACATTTCTAAAAAAAAAAAACATTTTATAAAATATTTACATTACAAAAAAAGGACTTTCATGGTCTTCTTTTATTTAGTTATTTCAACAACATGCATTAACATTTATTGTTTTTAAACACAGACCACATATCATAAGACGTCATTACAAAGGAAGCGATTTCCTTACCTGTAGATCCAGCAGCTCATTCGCTCGCCTGTCCTTCTCCATGAGGAGGTACCGACGTTTCTTCTCCTGGACCTCATTATGCAGCGCCTCCTCTTCCTCCATCTCCTGCATGAGCCTTGCCTCTGCCTCAGCCTCCGCCTTTGCAGTGTTGCTCTCCATCTACAGCAAAGTGATGGAGTCAGATCAATCACAACACGGGACTCGGACTGTTTATTCCCCACAGAACACAGCGGACAATCCACCAAGATTACATTTTATTGTACACCGATTTAACAAAGCAGATGCATTAAAAGCAGTGTTCAGCCTTTCAGATACTCGTATATGTTAAGACTCGCTCACCTTAGCTGTGAGGTAGGCCAGTAGGAATGTTTGCATCTCTATGATCCTCTTATTAGTCTCTGGATTTCTCTCAAGCTCGACTGCATTTTCAAGAATTGCTTTTTCTTAAAGAAAAAATAAAAAAAAGAAAAAAACCTGTTATACGACACATTTGTACAAAACTTCCAGAATTTTAAGACTTTAAATCACTTTACCTTTAATGACTGAAATATCAAAATCTGGTCGAAAGCCGTGTCCATCTGAGAAAGTGGAATGCAGAATACTTTTCCCAAGCAATGAAGTTTCTTGTGACATCATTGCTGGAAGGAAAACAACATGAAAATGCGCACAAGTTATCCATAGTTCTCATTTTGACAAAGTTACAGACTCAATCAGAATTCAGGGGGAATAAGTTGTTAAGAAGATCTTTGCACTGCCGGGTTTCATGTTAGATTGTGAACGATTCTAGTTTAGTCACTTCAAATCTTAAGTACCAACAACAACATTTACACCTAAATATATAAACCCTCTTTAAAGCAGTTTAAGAGATTGGAAGTTAACATCATTGCTCCTCGAACACACTACAACAACCATAGTGAGAAATGTACTCATCTCTCATGAACAAGTGTGCGAGTACACATGCAGTTATCGCCATAGTAATTACTTACGTGTTGCTGGAGGGGCCATTGAGCGTCTTGGTGGAGTGCCGACCCTCGCTTTGACACCACTGGGTTTTGGTGAGGAAGGTCTCAGCGGAACAACAACAGACTCGTTGGTCAGTGAGTTACTCTGTAAATGGTTATAGTGGTGCAATGAGATACAAATGTATAACAGACACAATGTAACAACAGGCAGACACCTGAACCGCATTGACACAACAGAGGCAGAATTTAACTTATGAAAACATCTCTTGTTGGATCACCAAGAGTGAAACGCATTATATGTTATATAAAAAAAATATAATAGTATCACCTTTGAAAGAGATGTCTTCTCAGCAGCCTGCATGTATCGAGACTTGACAATAGTTCCACTTGTTAAAGCTTGATGTTAAGACGTCAACAAAGAAAAAAAAAAGAAGTTGCTGAAGCTTAGTTAAACCTATTTCAACACATCTGTACATCTCTCACATCATTGAAATGATATCAGCTACAAGTTACCCCTAACCTTACCTTCTTGAACTTTGTTCAAGAATACCAACACGCTCGAGAAAAGAAGCCAGTTAAGATGAGCACATTTACAACACAGTTTGTGATATTAAATATTACACAGCTTTGAAGATGACAGCACAAAGCAGTATATAATGTCAGTTTTGGACCATATTGAGTCTATAGGTGGAGCGAGAAGATTTTGTTCCAGAAAAGGGTTTAAGAGGTTTCTATGCAACACTTTTCTGATGTGACAACGTCCCATCAATGGGATGTTATAATCAACATAATTCAAGCTGATTATTAAAGGTAATAATTGTAGAGAAAATTTGGAAAGATTGTTTTAAAACACTGGTAGAGGACTGTATTGTAATTTGTTGGCATACAGTTAACTAACGTTATGTTTAATGTCTGATAAGTGACAGCACTACACTCAAACTAACAATTAGCGTTTATGAATTTAACGTGAACATATACGAATACTTACATTTAACACCTTTCTTCCCAGTTCCGGTGGTGGTGGGTTTACTAGCATTGCTCCCACTTTTCGTGCTGAAAACAAACCAAAAAGGAGTCAAATAAAAAAAATGTAGGAATGACAGCACAAATTGCAAAATAAAAGGTGACTTTATTTTGGAAAACGAGCTAAACCGAAAGCGTTGCTAACAAGTTAGCTTACAGTAGCTACCGATAAGTTATTCACAAGAACATAACGGCTTGTAGGTGTATCTGCTTTCCCAGACTACGTATTAGCTATAAGTCTGGTCCAGCAGTGTGAAAAGATGATGTCTCTGCTAAATAATACAACGTTATAGCGCATTAACTGAAATAGCTTAGCCTGACTGGCTCTTCTCTAACGTTACATTACATCCTCCTAAAATTAAACTGGACACAAATCTGCGAACTACAAGAAACTAAATAAAAAGACAGGAAATAATACGACGAGGACTAACGTTACCTTTTACTGTCGGTGGAGGTACTTTTAAAAGTACTTGGCATTGTTGATGTTCTTCTCGACGCCATAATGTTTTGAAGCAAACCGCCTGTACACCCGTTTATTTTAACCGGTAGAAACAGGAAGCGATACGTTCGTTCCGACCTTCTTTGTGTATTTGTGGCACGTTGAAAAGTTTATGCTCAATTTAGCAATTGCTAAAACACGATTTCTGAAACTACGACCCTCCTTGTCAAGACTCAACACACAAAAACACATACAGAAAATACAAAATATCTTACATCTCCTGCTACACCAAACACTTCATTCAAAATGTAATAAAGTCTTCCAAAATTATACTTTTTATACACCAAATAAATAGCTCTTATCCACATGCCAACTGCACACTGATGTGAATAAGTATAAAACTAGTTTAAATTTGTAGCATGCTGTAAATATAAACTATGAACACAAATACAATGGGAAAACAAACACATTTGTTTATTCTCAATTTTCATATACTCACACAGTATCTGACAAAAAAATAAACTGAAGATGAAACCGGGTGTAGTTAGTTGCAAAAAGTGTGAATTAGAATTTTAAACTTAGTGTAAATCATACAATGTGCTTATGGTTCAGCATACATAGTCAATAGATAGGCTACATTAGTTATAGTTTAAATAATTGAAACTGTATTATACTGTTTATTAATAATCTTGAACCCTCCTCCTCCTCTTCTCTCTCTCTTTCTCTCTCTCTCTCTCTCTCTCTCTGTTATAATCATGCTGCAACCAGCTTCATTCATAAACACCCCATACTGTGGTATTTAATCACTCATAATTATTTGTATAATATCTCAGTTATTATTTCTCTCATTATGGCAGACAGTGGATAGACAGTGAATGGAACAGTGGAACATGGCAGCACCCATGGTGATGTTACTTGGATATGGACTAATTTTCTGATTCACAGCTGGAAGCCCTATATGTTGTTAAAATAATTTGTATATAATACCTCAAACCTGAAGTATTTGATTCCAAAGAGCCTCTTACTAATTTATTGGTAATGGTCAGACAAAAATGTAAGATGATTTCATCATGATGTTTATGACAGATGTCTCTATTTGAGATAAAGTCGTTACCATCCAAAATGATTAGATAGATAAAGCTCAATTTAATTTGAGGGTGGATTTTTCTTCTAACTTTGTGACGATGACCTGATCCCTGATTCTGAATTTTAACATAACTCTTACGTTTATGGTCATCATATAGTTGCAGCCAGTTCTGCATTACTTGAGATTTAGTAAAGATTTTAGCTTCACCTGCCCTCTCTTCTTCTGCAGTGATGTGTTCTTGCTCATACAGGGCTTACACATAATAACATAAAGACCTGTACAACATAGCTAATGGAGTGTTCCGTCTGTGCGATGGAGCTCATGGTGAAGCTCATGTCTTTTTTGCTGAGACTTCGTTTACCATTATTATTCATTCTTACAGGTTTTCACATTTTTGTGTCCAGACGCCATATGGGCACCACCAGTCGAAAAAGATTTAAAAAAGAAAGAACGCAACATCTGCTTTGACATTGCCGGCAGGGGGATATCAAAAGCTACAGTTGTTCTAGTAACCACTAGATGGGTGTAAGGGTCTACAATCCTCTCAAGTTACAATATACTCTCAGTCTGAACAGACTTCATTCAAGATTATGTCTCCCCGCTATGTGTTGTCTGCTTAAGAAGTTCTCTTACCTGCAGTTTACTGGCTGTTTGTGTGCACACGTCTTAAAGAACATAATGGGTGCTGATCCCACCTGTCTGAGCTGGTCTCGGACAACAGGAAGGACAATGTGAGGAGAGCGGGCGTGGGACTGGGTGGTAAACACTGACCAGCAGCCTCCATCCTAAGTCACATCCACAGACACATGGATGGATAAACCACCGGGGGTAGAGAGAGAAAGAATGCTTGTAAGAGGGTTTTTTTAAGAGTAGTTGAATTAGATTTGATTAGATACGGTGAGCATGCTGGATGACATCCAGGTCATTTTATTTTGACCTTTCTGCTTTAATGAATTTTCATGATAAAAGGTTGAACATTTGCACTTGGCACTAAAACAAATATCTCACAAATACATGCCTGTATTTGTATGTGTGTGTGTTCAAAGCATGTGATGTGTGTGTGTGTCCTATCAGTCTGTGTAAAGGCCGGGCCTTATCATTGCTCTCCTCTCTCTTTCTCTCTCTCAGTGTAATAAAGACTTGAGGCTGTGTGTCCGCATGCTGGCTGTCCATCTCTCACCACCAGGCAATGCCAGCACCAATAGCTGCCTTTGAGGTGGAAAACAAATGCCGTTGATGATGGAAACATGTGCAGTATGGATGGACTCTTTTGGATTCAATCAGTAAAACTTGTGGTTAAATATTTGTGGCAGCTATTTAGTGGTATGGTGGTTTCCTTTAACTTCTCTCTGGCGTTAAGAACTAGATCCACGCTGAGGAGCTGAAGTGAAAGAGTGAGAAGAGCACGTTGAAAGACAGCACTACGAGGACGCTGAATGAAAGTCCTTGTCTCTTTTCTGAGCCCACCTCTCTTGCCTTTTTCTCTCTGCTCCGAAACTCTGACGTCCAATGAAGGATTCGTCTATGTCACTGTGACCTCACTGATACTCTGCTTCGCCACTTGGACACATTTTTCGGGCGATAGAAATGCAAGATGAAACCTGCTTGAATTCATATTCTGAATGAAGTGAAAGGAAAGTTGTTGTGCGCTCTCCGAACACATGTATGTACACATGACTACACACACACACACACACACACACACACACACGCACACAGACAACCCAGCCTACTCACCAGCCCTTCTTCCCTTTGCGGTAAGCTGTTACTCATCACTGCCCAGTCTGCCAGTCTGGTCCACATAGCCTTCCAGGAATGCCTCAAATACACAGTGCCTCATACAGTATAGCCAATCGGCAGTATTTGGCGCATTCAGTTGGATATCTGAACTAACTCACACTGCTCTAAATCTTATTATTGTGCTTTTGCTTGTGGGTTTTGTTATTGTTTTTTTTCAGCATCCAAGAGTTGAATTTAAGAACCATAGTATTGCAGCTTTCCTGAGCAGATGGGTGTAGGATTTCTACTGTTTGCTCTTGTCTTGCGAAGCTACAGAAGGATCCAACCAGTCAGTCAAGGGCTCCCAGTATTAAGTAGATAAGCTTCTCTCTGTTGGCTAACCACGGTATGCAGTGGAGCATTAGGACACTGTTTACTTCCTAACTACAGACTATCTGGGCGGCTCTGCTGGTCATTTTTGTCCCTTTAAAATCTCCAAATCCACTCAGGGTGTATCACACTGGGTATGTCCTACTGGTAGCAACAGAAGCTTTGATATAAATGCAACATATTCTCACGGAAAATAAACACTTTTTGAGAAGTAGGAATATTTGCTTTGTGGCTGAAAGTTAGATGAGCAGATTGATACCATTCATGTCTGTTAGTTCAATGTGAAGCTGGGAAAAGGAGACAATTAGCTGAGCTGAGCATAGCATAAAGATTGTAAATGGGGAAACGGCCAGCCTGGTTCTGTCCAAAGGCAGATATAACATGTTGAATTAGTGAGATTTAGAGGTGCTGGTCGGTGGATATTTAATATTTTGGACAAAGCCAGGCTAGCTGTTTCCACCTGCTCTCAGTCAAAGTTGGCCGTCTCTTGGCTTTAGCTTCATATTTAACGGACAAACACGTCAGTGGAGTCAATCTTCCTATCTATTTCTCTGCTAGAAAGCTAATACGTGCATTTCCCAAAATGTCCAACCATTGCAGTCATTGCAATTTAGCTCAGATATCACAAATATCAGGTCAGTAAAGGTGGGCTCAAGCTGAGATTGTGGCCTTTTTCTTCCACCGCAATCTGCAGTTTTGCAATGACGAGCAGCGTGGCCTCAAAGCAACAGCGAAAACTCCATCAAATGACCCAAAGCCCAGTTTTCCACCTCATGCACGTGTCGCTCACTTCCTAATTGTTTAATTACGGTGCTTGTCTTCACACTATGTGACCTCGGCTTGGTGCTCACTCTTGTGGATGAACCCTGCAGCATCACTGAGCTGCGGTGCTGGAGGCTGGGGGATTTCCTACATGTGTCTCAGGGGCAGCAAGGTGTTTATTCAGCCAGAAACATTAGGAACATGCAGTGGATCTCCAATGGCATCATTACAGGTCAAAAGTTTATGTTCCTGAAATGTGCAATTGCAGGAGAAATGGAGCCTGCGTGCTCCTCTGAATGTAACATACCTTTAAACTGAGGCAAAGAATGCCTCTATGTGTTGCTTAAGGAAATGTGTGTAACTTCAGAGACTAACAGAGTTGTACTTGTTAATTAATTTAAAGACCGTGTGTATGAGTATCGGTCTTTGTGTATTTGTGTTAAGCATCCATGTGAATTTTTGAGAACGAGAGATGAGCACCATACAGCAAGCATGACTGGTTGTGTGTGTGTGAGAACCATGTGCGGTTCTTTAGCAGGGCAGTGTAGCGTGCAGTGCAGGAGTGAGCAGAGGCGGCCCAGGCCAGCAGACCCAGTACCCTGGTAATCCCTGCGTTTTCAAGAGCCCTGGCCCGTACTTGATGAGCTTGAGCAAGAAAAAGGTTGCGCTCTCTCTCGTGTATTCCCCTCTATCTCTCTCTCTCTCTCACTCTTTTATTCCCCCTCTTTTTCTCATGCCCTCCCTCCCCTCCCCGTCCCCTGGAGCCACTTTGCGAATGAATGGATACCAAGTGTTTACTCAGCAACTCTCCCTGTCCCTCTATATTTCTCAGGATTTTAATCAACAAAAGTACGGGCGCCCCCTGTAAGTCGACTAATTGGCCGATTTGGTCTTAGTCTACTATTTTTTTTAATGCCTTTTTCATGCTGAATTACTTATGTCCAAGAAACTTATTAGGATATCTCTGGTAAACACAATATTTAAAGTAATTTTTGTGTGATTATTTGTGGAGAAACTCCATGTGTTGATTAAATCAACTATAGTTGACGAAATAATTTCTTTGGTGGAGGAGAGCCCTAAAAAAGAGATGAACCGGCAGACCAACCATCAGAGACCATC